CAATAGAAAGCCCCTCCCCACAAAATAAAAAAAAAAACTCCTCTCAGCCAGGCACAAAGAAAAAAAAAAACGTGACAGATATGTTAAGAAAATTAAAAAAAAGGTAGTTTCAGTGGATGAAACAAAACATTACTGTATTCATTCAAAGCAGTTCATACAATAAAGGAACCTTGTAATATAGATAGGGAAAAACCATCATATATAAACTTAAGTAGTAAAATATGCGGTTGAAATTATGACATCCCGTTTTAGGCGCGTATAAATAAAATACGCATTGAAGAAATCGAAAACTCTTTAAAAACCTGACTCCAACGATGGTGAAAATGCAAAAGTATGATTGCGTGACCTTACGGGGATAACAATCTAAGCCTAAATACGAAAATTTTATATACACCTACGTTCATCTAGGCTTAACATTCGTAGGTAAGGGGCATTGTGCTCACCTGTGACATTTGTTTAAGCAGAAACAGATGTAAGCAACAAAGGAAACAATATGTTGATCCTTAATTGAGGACATTTTTGTCGCTTAAATAAGGCTGACAGGTACCCACATGACATTCATTGGCTTGACAAAAGTTAGAATTTAGTAGTCATCAGCCCAGAAATATTTTTATTTTCATTTTTACTTAGGTAATCTTATATTCGAGGGTTTTCACATCATACCATTACCATTAGCGCCAAACTAACATGGAGTTCCAGCTCACTGGGGTGCGTGGTTTATTTGTGTGGGTAAGAAAAACAGGTTTTTCTATTTGGATATAAACCTGCACTTAATGCACCATGCCATAAATCAAACAAAAACTTCTACAGCGCTCAGGTACGGTATCCACGATTCACACGTACGTTTGACACGACTTTTCCAGTGCCCCCTTTAGTACACTACAATAGCTTACAGCCAATGAGGGCTTAGTGTGTTAAATAAAGCAGAAATCAAAGTTTATTTGTTTTTTTTTTAGTCCGCGCGCATTTCTGGAATGCTGGTTTTTAGTACGCCTCGAATGCCTTTTTTTATTATTCACTGCAGCATTCCCGGTGCTAGGCCTCTAATACCTTTTTTAATGCGAAATGTTCCAGAAACCAATAATTAGGAATGGAATACCCGACATTTTTTGGCGATTTTGTTTACTTTATAATATTCGTTTTTATTTTAGTATTTTAAATTCAATTACATGTAGTAGTCCGGCTTCGGTCGGCCTTTTGTCAAACGTCGCACTAAAAGTTTGAAAACATCAAACCTGAGTTTCCTCGGCCTCGAAACATCCTTGATATCCCGAGTTATATGCCAATTGAAATGTTGCCTAACTATCTCACAATTCAATCTATCTGAACTTCCATTAACTTAAGCGAAGGAAGGCAAGAGGTCAAGCGCTGCACCTCGCTGTGTGATGCCTCGCAGATCCGTATGACAAGGCCCTAAAAGTCGTCTGCGCCAACAAAAAAAGTATATATGTGTATAAACTTGCAGTTTTGTGTCCGTCAAGGAACACCAGCACTTCTCCAGTTCAGCTCAGTCACACTATTTTATTTAGATAATTGCATAAAATAACCGTCGGTATAGTTTGCGCACAGTCTGCAATTCCTCCTTGTCTCGTTCATGTGTGTCTTTTTCTTGGAGGAAACACCGATGACAATTGTCTCCAATAGAACCCCTATATACGCTGTGGTTAGAGTACCGACACGTCATTCGCACATCCGGGACTTTTAGCAAACCGTTACCGTATTCCCCGAAGCACACTACCGGATCTTTTGAAGCAGACTTTTAAGCCAGCAACCGGGTGATACCGTGAACCGTGGAGTGCGCGCTTTAAAACATGCTTCAAACGATCCGGTAATGTGATACGCTGAACACATTAACGATTTGATAAAAGTACCTATTGTCTTGCGAGTGCATCACTTTCGATAGTTTCGATTCGGAAATGCAACTAACCAAGTTTTACATACGGGAACGTGAGTCGTGAGCCATATTCATTCGCTCTGTCGCGGTCTATTCTGCTCCTCCTGGAGCACGGACAACCGCTTCCTTTAGTTTTGGAAAAAAACTTTAGATACTTGGCGACAATGACGTTAAGCAAGGTGATGGCTGAAGTGTAACTAATCTGAAGCGAAGCCTAGTAAGTTGCTCTATCCTTCACGATTAGAATTGAAGTAATTCTGTTATTTTAACATGCCTCTCTTAATTCTATACACCAAAAGAAAGGTCCAAGTCACACATGTTGCCCTTAATTGTACTATGACTCCAGATGTGAAGATAAGTCGCAATAATCGTGAGTCTTGCATAAGCAATACGGAATTCACGTAGTTCTGCGGACGAGCAAGGAAGTGATATCAGCGAAAAACTTATTGGCAAGGAATATTAGTATGATGTTAGGAACGCCCCCCCGACTGGTGTATTGACCGCGTCATTGAACGTGGCCTCTCGATGTTTCTCTCATGACGCCAAAGACGTAACATGTTGTCGCCGGCCGCAATTTCGTGCAGTGTCGCAGCAGTGAAGGTGGATATTGCAGACGCCTGTTATGCTGCAGGTGCCTCCCCTGTTCGACTGTCCACTGAAGTTTCGGCAGTTAAGATGTGGAACTCCGCGACCACGGCGACACCCGCGCTTTCTCGTGCGTTTTTTACGAAACGTCTACGCCCCACTTCCGGCATCGCGACATCCAACAGCACGATACGCCTACGTTTGTGACGTCATTTGTAGCCACTTCAATACCACTTTCGACGTGTGGGCGAAATAGGGCGCTAAATATTAGCCCCGAGAGCGAACACAAGCGTCGCTGCGGTCGCCGCGCCCTGAAGGGGTGAGGTGTCCCGTGACGTCATGGGGAGGACTCCGCTCCGCGATCTCGCATCGGCTCGCTTACCAGCGCCGGTTTCCTGGTTTTGTGTTGTCTGCCTCAAGCCCTTCGAGGAGCTGGACTTCCTTTACCCGGTGTACAAGACGTTGAGTTAGGCCGATATTGACGTGCTTCCGTACATTTTATAAGTTTGCTTGTCCCTTTTACTTTTAAAATTGGGTTACAAATCCCGAAAGCAATCGGTGGAGGCAATTCCGCCGATGAACCTCCCCGTCCGTCCACACGACACAAGGCAATCTTGCGAGGGGTCGGTGAAGCGGTGGCGCAAGTGTTTCGGACGCTGGAATTCTGTTCCTTTCATGTTCATGATTTAGGACGATATCACATCCCGCTTTCAAGGCATTTGAAGTGGCATTAATATCATGGGCCTTCGGGTGGTCGGAAAATTAGCTCGCGACCCCGACGCTGCGCTGCCACTCTGCATGCGCTGGTTCGCAGATGTTTTAAAGGCCCTCTGTCTGATTATCTTTGAAGTGCTCGTGGAACAAGGTTGTTTTACATAAATGTAGTTTCTTCGTGAATTAAGTATATAGTTTATAGACGTATGCAGGTACATTTCTTAGAAGATGCACAATTACTGGAAATTAGTATGCATGGTAGCAGCAAAAACGGCCGAATTGCCCGCAGTTGCCTGTATGATATGTATTGAACTGCCCAAAATTACGCACGGCAATAGTGCCGTAATTTGGAATGTTTATAGTGTTTCCCTGGCATTTTTTTATTCCAGTCTTGGGTGTTCGGAAAATACACTGTTTAGTCTGAATTGTCATTTCCAATTAAGAGACACTGCTGCAGGTGCCCAAAAGCTTCCTCAGCCTCCAAACTTCCTAGAGCTGGACTTTCTGACAACAGAAGAAAACAGGAGTAAAAACAAGCATTCGAACGTTTGTCCAGTGGTAGATACAGCATTAGTAGGATAAAGTGTGGAACCTGTGAAGGGCGGCAGTCTGCGTGAGAAAAGCTTCTGGTATTTTAGCTTCAGGACATTTCGATTAAAGTAAAATATCAATATTAGGGCTTAAGGGACTAATAACGAGCTAGACACCTTCGCTTACGTTTGTTATAAATTAGTTGAGGGTTGATATAAACAAGTCCACAGATACCACCCGTGTAGTCCATTGAAATACTATCCGAATCCAGCAATGGTCCAATGCGAGCAATGTATAAAATAAATGTTCCTTGTTTTTTTTTTACGTTGCCGCTGCACTTGGGCTGTCTTACTTCTGATTCTCTCGCCATGGCCCAGACTGTATTTAGCATGTTGCTCGAGTAGCATGCAGCTTTTTTGCTTCGGTGATCTTGTTTGAAAACAGAGATACAAAAAAATAATAGTATACATAACTTGCCAATTCATTCAGACCATCAGCAGCATTTATTGTGTGAGATGTAAATCTATAGTGATGCTCCTGCGATTGGGGCCATACTTTATTTTCATATACCAGCTGTGATTCATGCGTTGCCTGCCCTGTCAACCATGCTTAAGATGTTGCTTGAAGTTTAGCCTGTAACTACAGGCCATACCTCAATAAAGGCACATATAAAAATTTACACTTCCTACGAAAAACACGCACAAAAAAATTAAATAGAAACGAGCGCGCCGACAGCTAGCGTCGTCACAGCCTCCACAAGGCGAGCGGGGCGACTCGGGGAAAAATTCTCTCCTCGCCGTGACGTCACCCCGCCTCGCCGTAAGGGGGCGCCACGCGAACTTCTCGGGGCTAATACCAGTCGGATTCCTTACAAAAGCGAACGCTCCTTATGCAGGAGCTGCGTCGATTAGCCGAGGCCGCACTATTTTTGGCGTTCACGCTGATCATGCATTGGACGCGAGTCCTACGTCAGTGTTCAGCGCCTGCTTGGGCTCAAATATATTCGCCACCTGTGCCGCGTCAGCGCCTGGCCTCAACTCGGATCCAATCGCACGCTTCGAGTGGGAAGCGACGACTAAGGACGGATGTATGATTGACTGCTAATGGCTCTACCTTTTATAACTGGCGATAGCTCACTCCCTAGTATGGCGGCCGCCAGTGTTTCCCAATCGCCTCTTAAAAACAATTCTATTGTAATTGGAATGAACTTTGAGTTACATTTGAAGGTCTGGATTAGCATTTAATATGTGCCTCGTTTTGTTTTCTGACGTTTCAGATATCGCCGTTTCGAAGACAAGATCCGATCCATATCCTGGGAATCTACGCGACGGTTCGGCGACATGCTCGCCTCCCCCAATCGCGCACCGATAAAACAATAATAATCGAACCCACAAAAAAAAATTTTTTCCGCTTTTTTTTTAATGGTGTAGTTGAGACAATCGCTGCTGGGTAAACGGAGGCGGCGACAATAATGCCGTGTGTATGTGAACAAGGTTTACGTCGCCTATCTACAGCTGTTCGACGTCCGTGTCCGAATAAACCAAGAAAGATGTCCAAAGTGCAAAGACCATACTCCGTGTTTACACTGACTCTGACCGCAGCCGAAGCTACGATCATCGGGAAGCAATCGAGCAAGGCCAAATGTGCCGCGTGACGGCGCTCGTAGGCTTTGTGCTTTCAATGTCACTGACTAAACCCATATTGCACGCTCTGTGCGCAGCGATCCTGGGCTTGTTTCACGCTTGATCGGTTTAGCCGGCGATCAAAACGTTACCCTTCGTCATAAACTACGTGTCCCACCATTCTACATATCTGCTCGCATTGATCATAGCCATAAGGTTGGTAGTCTAAATTTTAACACTTCATTATTTCAATGTTCTTTTATGCCATGAACCTCTATAGACTGGAACCACCTTCCCGCCTCGACAGCTAAAATCACGAATATTGTTTTGTTTAAAAATGCTATTACTAATATGTTCACATTATACCACTCTCTCCCCTCTTCAATGTACTTACCTGGAGAGCATTTGAAATAAATAAATAGACACACACAGACTACGAGGGCCGTGACGAGGAACTTTTGGCTCTGTTTGATTGGCTGTGTCCGATCGTGACGTCGGCGCCGGTCGGACATTAACTGAAACGGAGAACACTGACGGCGCGTCGCTGATGTACCGCACTAAATAATAAAAATACAACGTGCCCCGTCTGGAATCGCGGGCGGTGATGTAAGCCTCCATCGTGTATACCCGTTTGTTTCGTTTTTGTTGTCATTAAAAGCGTTTGTTGAAGTGGGCTTCTGGTTCTGCCTGATTGTATATCTGCCGCGTAGTTTCCAGACCATACGTAGCGCAAGTTCGCCCGCTTCTTTTGAGGGGGTTGTGCTGATGTCAGAACGCCGATCTCTGATTCGCTCCGATTGGAAGGATAGTGGGTAGACCTCAATGCTAGCTGTTTTGAGGTCAACCCACTATCCTTCAATTAGAGCCAATCAGAGCTCGGCGTTCTGAAGTCACCACACCCCTGCCAAAGCAGACGAACTTGTGCTCCGCCTAGTCTGAGCCCCGTGTGGCGTTTGCGGAGGAAACTTTTACCCGAAGAAAGGCTTGATTTAGATAGTCCGTATCCGGTCGGCACATCGGAAAGCATTATGGTTCACATAGTAGACGAACCCGTGCTACCACTTTTTCCTCAAGCGCCGACAAAGGTAAGAGCTCTGCGTTCCGCTTTGTTTTGTATCGAGCATTCCTTTCGGGAGTTCTGCAGGTGTCCGCATCGTCGCTCGTTTCTATTCAACATTAATCTTTTTGCAGCTACGTGGTTTGACTTCGACTCTTTCTCATTCAGTCTGAAGGAGGCCGTAAACTCTCTTGGTTTTGGAGGAATTGCGGCGTTTATAGTCTCACGTTTTTGTTACAACCGAAACTAGGGGTCGTTTGTGCCACGATTGTCGAACAATCACAGAGCCAAGCTAATCGCTCTGACCTCCGCATGATGACTATGTCTCACTAGCGAGATTAGAACGGCGGAGCTCTCTTTCCAATGCCCGGCCTTCTGTTCAACTCACTCATTATCTTTCGCCGTGCTTTGTCTTCGCGTGCAAATTCGAGGCTTACAAGACGCCTATGCGTTATCTAAGGCAGGAAGCTCGCAATGAGGGCGGCACAAATGAAGGACCTCCTTGCCGTCCTAATCTTGTGGGTGAATGTAGTCCCCAGCATGCAACAACGTTTTCTTGACAACGTGATGGGCTTGTCCCCTAATAAAGAAACGATTAAACAATATTTTTTGCATAGTCCACTGGTATGGATAATCAGCACAGCGCAGAGTATAAACTTTTAGAAACATGTAGTCAACCTATCCGGCTAATGCTGTGATTTATGAATACTCTTTAGAGCAAGATGAATATTTTTTACGTAGAAAGTAATTTGAAATTGCAGCAGAGGTTTCGCGTTGCTTATAGCCTAATATCAAAAGCCACTGAATAAGCTACTGAGAAAGTAAAATAGTGTGACTCAAAACGGATTATTTGACAGCACTCTACTCACGTTATTTCAGGAAAGGAAAACAAATGTCGACAAATTGAGATAGCAATGCGCTGACAGTGTTTTAAACAAAATATAAGTAAAAACGCAACGCTATTACGAAGCTGAGTAAGGAAAATAATGATTCTCGAATATAATGCCATCCATTTTGATCAAAAACATTTTCAAGGTATTGCTGGCGTTCTGCGCAGAAAACGAGAGTGAAGACCGGAAATGTTTCAAGAAAAAGTTTCGGAGAGCTCGGGAAGGGGTTATTTCGAACTCCTCAAAATTGAACTAGACGAACGTCTTTAAAGACTGGTCAATATTTTGTGCGGCAATTTTATATTCACCAAATAGCATTATTCCACTTTTGAAGAGAATGCGTACTGGGTTAGGGTGACACAAAAATGCCTTTAAGCGTAACCCGACTGTAACGCAAAAGCATAACACAAAGCGTAGCACAAAAATGTAACAGCCTAAATCTAGCGGGAAAAGTGATTTTGCGCTACTTCTTAGTTTAGAAAAGCTGATAAATAAACACTCAGCGCCGCTCAAATCATGCTGCATATTCTGGGTGTCCCGACTGTAACCGTCTGATTAATACTATAAATGTTTAAATTTGAAACGTATAGGCCAGAAAATCGCCTACAGTAATTTACAATTGACGTGCAAGTTGTTTTTTGTGCGGATGATATGAGTGTAACGCGCAAGATACACCTCGGGATCTCGCCATTCAACCCTCGAAAGTCGTATCGCGGTAAGAAATGCAATTACGGGCGTTGACCTCTGACATTCTTGGCAGATCCAGTCACGCGTTACTTGTCGGGACAAAACAGGTGACTTCGAGATATCCTTCTTTTCCCCACCAGTCTCGTGGTCCTCCCAAGTTCGGTCGTAATAAAGTACGGATTAGGTTAGCAAGCTCTCTGGTCACTTCAAGGAAGCCGATATTTTCCGCCAGTTAATAAATGCAGCAAAAATGCAAACGGACAAAAACACACTCAATTCGCGCTGTCGATCACGCCCGGAGGGAAAACTCTGAACCGAGTCTCAAGAAAAAAATAGGTGTCAACGTGATTCCCCAAGCGCCCCTACATCGTTTCAGAGTAACTTGGCAAAGAGTGAACGCCCCGGCCCTTTCGGGCCAACTGGAGCGACGTAGGCGAACCGCGTGACGGCCTTTATCGATGGTACAGAGGCGACAGCGTTACTCAAGCAGTTGGAGAAGAGGGGACCACGGAACTCCCTTTTGACCTGGATCATCGTTTGCGTGTCCCAGACATTGCTTTTCTTCCTCTACAAGATAATGCCGTCACTCAGAAATACGAGCGAAAACTGGCTTTCTTTTTTCACCCGCCTATAGGGTTGACTGAAGTGAGCGCAACTGGGGAGACAGACTGTAGTCACGTGTCGCTCTTTGGCGCTCCCATTGGCTCACCGGAACCGCAGCTTTCGCCGTTTTCTAAGTCACGGGGACGGAGTATAGGAATTGACACGGGCCAAAGAGAGCAAATGAAACAAAAATGGAATGGGGGGCCTCCAGGTAGAGCCGTAAATAACCAGAAAAACAAAAGCTGACAGAAATAAAGGACCAAGAAAGGAGGTGCTGGGGATAGTTTGTGCGCGATCAGGTGAAATAAATGCTGGTGCGAGTGATTGCGTTCTTATGGGAAATCCTTCGTTCCACGTTCTCTAAACAACACCAATTTCCGACTGGAGTAAGCAGCTGTGTTGCCTTCTATTGAGATGCGACTGCACCCTTCTGCAGTTACTAATATTCCAGTGCTCTGCGTAGGTGTTTCTCCTACTTGTTCTTGAGCCCTTTGTTTGCAAAGTTTCTTTTATAACTTTAAAGGAGGGTAGTTTGACTCTAGGCTAAACGATTCTAGAAGCAAGGTGCTCTAGCGGATGATCAGTTGCCGCATAAATAAGAGAAGCATGCGTTTAGAAGAAAAAAAAAAGATGTCTGATATTGGGTTTTACGAGGCATGCATCAATTCGCCGACTAGAACAAAAACAACCTAGAATATTCGCTATTTCCAGCCAGGGTGTCGCCGCCCTGGCGGCCTAGCTCAGAAACGAAGAGAGGGGATTGGTTTTCAGTGTAGGTTTGCAACGTAGGTGACGGAGGCACACACACAACGCCGAAACTAGGCTCGCAGTTTCAGCGTCGGCTCGCAAATTCTCGCAAGTTCGAGAACTTGCGAGAACAACAAGTAGAAAGAACAAATAAAAGAACACTCCTCTACCTGGAATCTAACCCAGATCTTCCGCGCGACAGTCAACCGCGGTAAGCATTCGGCCACACACGCTCTCTTTAATTTTTTCTTTATTACATGGTAGTTACAGCAACATGCATGTCGTTCTAAAAGCGCTGTACAGCTCTTTTGCACAGCGTATTAAAAATCACGCATTTCGAGGAGTGCTTTTAAAATACTAGCCCGCTCCGGTTCAGGTTCACAGTTCAAATACACGCTCTGAACTTGTTTTACAAAGTTGAAAAATATATCCGCACTTCCTTTGCATCGAGGTCAGCATGTCGAACAGCCACACGTGATCTCCAAATGCTACACAAAGCTAAACACATTATCATGTCATAAGGGACTTTATTATCATTATCCACACTAAGGAAACGTATCCCTGTTAGGGTTACAGCTAGTTCTTTCTTTAAAATGCGCTGGAGGACATCCCCCAAAAAAATACCGCGTCCCAACAAAAAATAAACACATGTTCAATAGTCTCAGGTTTCTTACACAGAAGGCAATTTACCGACAATGGCACATAAATTCATTTCTTTAAGCCAAACCTTAACTGGCAAGGTATTCGTGTGTAATTTATAAAAGCAAGTCTTCACAGCCGCGGGAACACGCATCCTTTTTACACGTCTAAGCGCATCGTGAGCACGCTGGGACACATCCTGATACAATGGCATCGGGAAAATACTCGCAACTAAATAGTGGTAGAGCGTTTTCTTACTGACATCACAAAGGTATTTCAAAGAAATACGTGCTGTCAAAAAAACCCATCGTTTCAACACCCTCTTTCAGAAAACCAACGATTCTTGTTGGCTCGCCACCATGAGAAGAAACAAAAAAAGATGGCAAATGTGGTGACACTTTCGTTTGAATCAGTGTGCGAATAAACGAATGCTCTTGGTCTCTCTCAAACAAAAAAAAAAAGAAGAAGCGTGACACAACCTGCTTGACAAAGAGGTGGGAAAGCCCTACACCACCGTTACAAACTCGATAAAAAAGATTGTCTCGTCTCATGGGCTCATATTTTGAGCTCCAAATAAACGTGCAAAAATTCGATGACATTTTTGAACATTAGCTCGCGCACAATGGATGACTTGAAGAATATACCAGAGCTTCGCAATAAGACAAACATTACAGACAGTCGCTCGGTCAAAAATGGACAGCTCACGTTGCTTCCAACGAAAAGCACGCCTGTCTAGGTCGGTAGCGACGCCCGACCAGTATGTTTGGCTGCTCCGGAAACTTTGCATTCGCACCCCGAAGTTCTGACACGGCACTGTGTTCCAGCATACACCCTCAAATTCTGAGGATGCAGTGGCCCAAGCGCCATGCCAGAAACGACGACACTTATCCCAGTTTATAACAGCACCAGCAGCGTGGCAAAACCTGTGAGTTAAAGCTGTGGCTTCGGTGACACTTTTTTTGTACCTACAAAAAACAGAAATGTCATCAGCGTAACTCATTATTTTTACTTCTGCATTATAAAATTGGAAACCTTGAACACGTTGTCTATC